TACATACACTGGTGGATACGATTCATGTCTTCAAATGAGACATTAAGGGAACTTTCTTAGGTTTCTGTTTCTGATATAAATACATTGTTTGAACCTGTCTGTCTTTTACGTACACTGGTGCATACGGTTCATGTCTTCAAATGAGACATTATCGGAACTTGCTTAGGTTTCTGTTTCTGATATAAATACATTGTTTGAACCTGTCTGTCTTTTAAGTACACTGGTGCATACGGTTCATGTCTTCAAATGAGACATTATCGGAACTTGCTTAGGTTTCTGTTTCTGATATAAATACATTGTTTGAACCTGTCTGTATTTTAAGTACACTGGTGCATACGATTCATGTCTTCAAATGAGACTACTACTACCTGTTTATCTTTGTGATTCAGGTCAACAATTGACGTCAGGTGGTACAGGACATACCGCCGGAAACATACAATCATTATGGGACGACCCTCATGCTTCCTGGTGCTGCTCGCAACTGCAGCCTGTGTATTCGGGACACGCTATGTCAAACAGCCATGCGGCCCCAAGATGTGTGAACTATTCTGTCGCCAGGTTGTTGACTGCACTGGTTTCATTGTGACGACTCCCGACCTGTCTTGCCACCTGACAACTCAGACCGTCCCTGCAGAGACCTCCGGTGTAACAGTACATAAGTTTAACGTAAGACAGGGGGGTTATGGCACGTCAAAAAACTTCCTTTTCTTACATGTTTCTTGCACTGTCCGTATAATCAAATGAATATGTGTCTAAAATGTTTCTGCATACTGACACCAGTCTGTAACTCGTGTGTTTCCAGTATTTTAGTTTTTCAGTAGTATATACATGCTAAAATGTGTGGTGTGTATACCGTAAACATAGTCAGTAGCTATATATACCTCCATTTATTCATTCATTCATTCAATTTATCCATCATCCATTCATTCATCCGTATATTCATTCATTCATTCATCATCTATTCATTCATTAATTCATCCATCCATTCATCCATCCTTCCATTCATTCATCATCCATCCATCCATTCAATCATCCATCTGTTCATCCATCCATCCATTCATCCGTCTATTCATTTATTCATCAATCTATTCATTCATTAATTCATCCATCTATTCATTCATTAATTCATCCATCTATTCATTCATCCATCTATTCATTCATCCATCCATCATTAATCCATCCATCCATCCATCCAGCTAGGAGAAAGGGCCACCAGGTTAATACAAATGGGGACTTCTGTCAACAGGCCCAACGAGGAAAAGCACCTTCGGGTTTTGCACTTCTGGGACAGATTCTTGACTTTAACGCCACCACCCTTTGAACGACAGAAATGGGCTTCACACATTTTGCCTATGTGTGAAATCAAACCCATGTCATCAGCGTCACGGGAGAACGCTTTTATCACTTGGCCACCCCTCCGACCCAGATACATATTCAGACATCAAATTGCTTCGTGTCCTGAAACTAAATATGTAGACATGAGGGTGTATTTGTCTTTCAGACAGCTACTAGGCTGGACTCCCCATGTCCTGCACACTTCACCATTGTCCATTCAAGAACAAGAGGACTTCAGTGTGTCATGTGTAAGTATTACCTTCAGTTCATTACCCTGGAAGTATGTAGTAACAAAACACGCAAATTCAAAACAAATACCACGCTTGTATCAGTGAGGCACGCAAAACGTGCTGAATGCCAAAGAGGTAGGCCTTAGTGTTTGTGTTTGCTCAGCATTCATGACATTAATAATGCATTTCATAACGTCACTCCTACACTATCGTGGGACGTTTTCGTTTTCTTGTTGTTTAACACCGCACTCAGCAATGTTCCAGCTATAGAGAGATGGACACCATGGGCATCGATCTGCGCAGTTGGGTTATAATGACATGGATCAACCAAGTCAGCGATGGTTGCTGAAGACCAGTTCTAACCCGGATCTTCAATTGTTCCGTTCAATCCGTTGAAATCGTTCAACAGAGTCTGTTTGCAGGACTCTGTTCTGATTTCCTAGGGGCCACGGTGGCCCCGTCATCCAAGGCGTTGCACGCCAGAAACCTAAGACTGTGGGTTCGAATCCCGGTTTGCCCCGATTATGTTTCTAGGTTTGTCAGCACCATACCCGTGCTCGTTGGTTTCACTGAAGTGGTAAACGTCTGAGACCTGCATCACTCCGAGCTTTCCTCCCACATTAAGCTGCCACGTTGTGATATAAATGGAATAATGTTAAAGGCGGCATTAAACCCAACTCACTCACTCTGATTCTCTAAAGGGTTTTGGAGCTTGTATTTACATTTCATGATGTATTGAATACCGTCAGCAGTCATAGCTGATATACTGTTGTCAGTTGTCAATAACAACATAGTCAGGTTTACTTCTAACGGATGATCCTATGCTTTCATTTTGTTTTCAGCTGGTGGCAGTGGACAAATAAGAAATCCAGAGTTTGTGTCACGGGTCGTATACACATCATTGTCGATGCCTTATCTGTACCAAATGGATCTAAATAACAAATCTTCTATCAAATACGCGAAATATAAGATAGAACATATTGTCGATATAGCTTTTGTAAATGCATTGAAGGAGTTGATAGTAGCAACCAAGCAGCCTTCAGTGCTGTCATGTCGCTCTGGTGAAGTAAGACCACAAGCTATTTCAAACGTAAGTGCAACCCTACTGGTGGTTGACCAGAAAAAGTCACTTGTGTTCATGCGTGTCAGGCCGAATCTAATGATAATGACGACCCAAGGCAAGGTACTAAATACTTTTAAAGTCAGCATACGGTTTATGACATTTGCTGTACACCAAACACTGGAAACTGTTTACTGTGCTGCTAACTTCAAAATCATTGCATATGATTATAAAGGACGTATGGTTGGGGTTCTTAAAAACTACGTCTTTTCTACTTTTGTCACATTAGATGCCAAAGGCGAAACCTTATATTATGGCAAGAACAACATATATGGATACTCTTTGGTGACCAATACCACGATGTTCCTGATGGGAGTTCATTATACGGTGACACGATTTCATGTTTATGGAAACGGCAAAGGCGTTGTTACCTTCAAGAAACAAAACAGCATTTCTGCTGTCGACCTTGAACATGCTACAATTAAGAAGCTTATTACCACTTCACTAGGGCGGAGAGCTACTGCTCTAGTTGTGTGTTTAGTGCCATGAGGTATGTTTTGGGGTACATTATCATTCTCAGTAAATGATATAAACCCATTGTGAATTGATCGTGCTAATAATGCTCTTCATATAAAAAATGCTGATAGTAATCTAGAGACAAACAACCACACACAATGCAATGGTTGCTTGAACACCTGATGTCATTATAGTTTGTGAATGATTGACAAACGTATGCGGTATGGTATAGTGTACCGCAATAAACAGACATTGAATATATTTTTGTTTTTCGTTTTCCTGAATTCGAGTACAGCTGTGAGAGATCAAGTTGGTACATGCAGCGCACACTAATAATCCGTCTATACTGATTGCTTTAACTGAGGAAAGCACGCTGTATTCTATCACCTTATTTATTCCAATACCCTGTTCACACAGGTATTTTTTGCCTCACATTTAGATTATATGGAAAACAAATTGTAACTTCTCAATAATATGCTTCTTTTGGGAAACCAAGGATTTACAAGGACTTTAAATAACAAATGAAACTCATTGCCTGGTAAATATAAATTATACAGGACTTGTGCAAAAGTTTGTCAAATCGCGAACCAGACAATCCAGTGATGGACCAGACAATCCAGTGACACTAAAGTATTAAAACAACACACAAAGTATTAAAGCAACAAAACAACTTTATTTGAACTGATTTTCATTCTTTCCATACTGAGCATACAACACAATCATTTCCACAACAATCTACATGCCACTCACACCAGACCTGAAGTCCACTTCAAAACAGGGGAGTCAACATGGAGCAGTTGTTGATAAGGCGACCCTGTTAAATAGGGTTCTTCATCTTCAATCATTTTCAACAACCATCCATAAGGTTATGGGAATTCTCTTCATGGAACAATTGAAACAAACTCTCTGCATTAAGCAGCAATGACAATGCTCACAGGGAACTGGACAAAAGGATATTGTAAGTTTTGTAAATGACAATTAAAATACAATAGCATTTGTTGTTTAGAATTCTTGTCTTGAACCAAAATAAAACTTACGTAAATCATTGCGTGTTCTTTGCCTGTCCATGGCACTGGTACTGTTTCGGCCACCAGGAACAATTGAAAATGTGAACATCTTTCCAGGACTCTGGGGAATAGGACCATATCCTTCCCAATAATTTTCTCCCTTTGCTAAGCCAGGATGCAACAGCGCATACCAGCCCTATAACCTTTCAAAGTAATATGGCAAATACAATAAATAATCTTCACGTTTGTAAGTTGTAGAACATCCAATCATTTTGCTTTTCTATGTGAAATATGTCCAAAAGTCCTCAGACTTGTTCAAAAAATATGTCCTGTCTCTCATGACCTTCCTGCCCCTTCAATTGCCCCTGACCCTTCTTTAAAGAAATCAAATTCAGGCCTACCAAGGAAAAACTAACGTGTGTTCAAAAACAAAGAAATTTAAACAAATATGACAAAAGTTGAAAAAAGGTTGTATGAAAGACATTATGTGAAGATTTTTTGTAGATAACTGATATTTGAAACTCCTTAAGTGGATGATCATGGGACTAACTTTTTTTATGATATGAATTTTTCCTGAAGGATCAAGCTGGAGTGTAATCCCCAAGTTCTGAAGGCTTTCTACTTCTTGAAGACGAATATTGTACAGATATAATTTCAGCCTATTTCCGGAATTGGCTTTATGAGTGAATGTCATGCATTCAAAAATAATGTTTGATTTTACATATGTCTTGCATCTAAAAATATACCCTAGACACCTTTGAATGCCCCGATGTGCTTTAAATTGTATCTGAAATATATACAATATATGGGGAAATATATGTTAACCATTACACAACCAGTTGACAATTGTTTTAGGCATGTCCGTTTGCGCTAAGACGGAACTCGGTTGCAAAAATGGCCATGGGAGGGTCATGAGTCGCTATTCGGCTTGTCATGGAATAACACGAGTTGCTCACGAATGCTATGATGACATATATTGATGTATCATCAGCAACCTTCCACGGTGAAAGGGTACGACGTCACAAAATCAACCGAGTTGGACAAAAAATCCATACAACAAGCACAGTTGCTGGGAGTCCTGGCAGGGGCGCATGATGTCGGAGGGGAATTCAAAGCTCAACAGTTCAAGGGCATTACTCTGGAATGAACCCAAAATGACCCTACACTCACACAAGTCCAACTCCTTACTTTGGAAATAAAAAAACATCAAACAAATAAAACAAAAGAATGAATGGCAAAAGGCCCCAGCTCTTCACTTGTCTGGTATGAATACAAGGTTTCATGGTATGACCTGGAACTGAACCCTACCATCATTTGAATTCCAACTTGTTGGAAGCACAAAAAGTAAATATTTAAAACAAATCTGACTAGCAAAAGACATACGTTCAATGCATCCCTGAAGTGTATACAAATTTCCTGAAGAAATGTTGAATGGTTTATGAGTTTTTAGACCATGACAATGACAGGCTAACGGATCCGTTTCCATATATAAACGGCTCTGACATCTGATGACACAGTTTTTGTTATTTTAATGCTTGGACTTGTATAGAATTTGTAACGCATGTCAAGTTACTTGTGTGTAGACCGCCTCACCTCACCTCACCTCACCTCACCTACTCATCCTTAACCTAAAGTCCTTCCTACCCTGGCAGGGGTTAGAAAAGTCAGGAGAAACAATTTGTACACGAAAGAAAACAAGATAAAAAAAGGCGCATATTGCTGGGGAGTCCTTCAGCCAGTCTGTCAACATAATCTGCTTCTTTCATAGCTTGAAACATACATAATCTGCTTCTTTCATAGCTTGAAACATACATAATCTGCTTCTTTCATAGCTTGAAACATACATAATCTGCTTCTTTCATAGCTTGAAACATACATAATCTGCTTCTTTCATAGCTTGAAACATATACATAATCTGCTTCTTTCATAGCTTGAAACAAACATAATCTGCTTCTTTCATAGCTTGAAACATACATAATCTGCTTCTTTCATAGCTTGAAACAGACATAATCTGCTTCTTTCATAGCTTGAAACATACATAATCTGCTTCTTTCATAGCTTGAAACATACATAATCTGCTTCCTTCATAGCTTGAAACATACATAATCTGCTTCTTTCATAGCTTGAAACATATACATAATCTGCTTCTTTCATAGCTTGAAACATACATAATCTGCTTCTTTCATAGCTTGAAACATACATAATCTGCTTCTTTCATAGCTTGAAACATACATAATCTGCTTCTTTCATAGCTTGAAACATACATAATCTGCTTCTTTCATAGCTTGAAACATACATAATCTGCTTCTTTCATAGCTTGAAACATACAACTCCACGATGGGTGTGATGCTGTTTAAAACAGTATTACAGTCATATCATGGCATGTCAGCTTAATGTGGAAGGAAAGCCTGAAGTGATGCAGGTCTCAGACGTCTAAAACTTCGGTAAAACCCACGAGCACGGTATGGTGCAGACAAACCTAGAAATATAATCGGGACGAACTGGGATTGGAACCCACAATCATAGGTTCCTGGTGTGCCCAAGGGATGCAACTCTGCACTGGGAATTTGTCCCGTGCCACCTCCATCATAGAAAGAACTGGCATCAGACTGTATTCAAGATAACAATGAACTGATTAACTTATATACAGAATCTAAAAACAGACTGTCGTTCTAAAATAATGTCAAAATCTAACAGGCGAAAACCTTCTATATTCATTCCACCAAAGTCGGGAACAATTTGGATATTACTTTGATGATAAAAATACCATTCTTTTAAGTCCTTCGTTCTTTCATCAATTTTAGCAAGTTAAAAATGCATTTGGAAGTTTGACCACAAGTGCCAATAATGATGCTATAAGTTGATCTTAAAATGGGTACAGTTATCACCATTTTAAACTACAATTTAGTGGTGCTTAAGAAAGAGAAAATATGAAAACCAACTATTCAATACATCACAGTTTCAATTCAAACAGACATTCCATCTTTAACCACTGAAATAAAATAAACAAAGTACACATTTGTGTCTTTTTCAAGTAGTAGCAACAACCTCTGAAGACTTGTGAAAAAAGGTTTATATCAGTCCCCTGGGCTGGAAATGAAATTTTAAGTGTGGGAACAACGACGGTCACAAAGGTAAGAATGCTGTATGGGAGGGGGCCAAGGACTTAGATAGGTTTTACGTTTGACACCACACTCATTCCAACCTGCCAGCTAAGATGGCAGCCTGTAAGTAAGTCAATCTTGGCCAGGCAATCCAGCGATTGACACTATGATCAACCATCCACACTTTCAGTGTACGCTGACACACAATCAGCCATGTCACCCAGCCAGACCACCCGAGCAGTTAAGTTGTCTCTTTCGACAGATCATGTTGGAAGCATCATAAATTTTGAATAACCTTTCCATTGTCACCGAACACTGAACTGGATTGGGCTGTGGAGAGGTTCTGTCCAAGAAGAGCAACATCTCCGAGCATCTGCAGATTATAAGCTGTGTTGTCCTGAGGAACTGCTGGTTGGACGCTGGTCACTTTCTGCTGGGCTTCTGCCAGGCTGACACCATCTTCTGGACTCGTGCTCTGACCCTGTGGCCTGTCCTGCTCGGGCTTCCTGTACACCAGGATTCCATCCTCGTCCATAGCGAGAGCCTGGATCTGGCTCTCCCCAAGGCCAGGGTTGCTGATGAATGTGATGTTGATGGAGGACCCAGACTGGACTGTACAAGCTTTCTCGCTACTGGCTTCGTCCTGATCACCCTGGTGAGTGTTTGTGGTTTCCAAGTGTCTGGCATGAGAACCATCCGAACCTTGAGAAGCACCTGAAACTGATCCTTTAGAACAAGCTGAAGCTTGAAACCCAGCTGAACTTGTTCCTTGGAAACCTCCAGAACTATATCCATGGAAACCCCCTGTAGTTGAGCCTTGGAATGCATCTGAACTAGAGCCTTGGAACCCTCCTGAACTGGAGCCTTGGAACCCTCCTGAACTAGAACCTTGGAACCCTCCTGAACTGGAACCTTGGAACCCTCCTGAACTGGAACCTTGGAACCCTCCTGAACTGGAACCTTGGAACCCTCCTGAACTGGAACCTTGGAAACCTGAAGAACTGGCTTCTTGGAAAGCACCTGAACTTGTAGCTTGTGGACCTTCACTGTGCTGGATCTCGCCAGTGTGGCTGTCCATGCAGAAGCCTGGCATGGATGTGTGTGAAGCCAGGGTACCCTGTCTGTGGCCCTCCAGCTGAGGCGGAAAGTCTGGCATAGAAAGCAGAGTGCTCTGTGGACTGTGTGGAGTCTGTGGGTTGGGGCTGTCCCCACTCGTGTCTGCTGTGTTGTGTGCTGCTACGTTGCGAAACAACAACTTTGGTGTGGGTGGCTCGCTCATTTCCTCACTCTCAGATGCTTCACGCTCGGACATCCCAGCTTCGTGAGAATCATCTTGCATAGCTTCGTTCTCCATTATCTCGTCTGATACCTCAATACTCTCATATCGTATGGTTTGGAGTCGTAGTGTTCCATCCTCGTGAACTTTGTACCTAAAAGTGGTAAAGAAGCATACAGTTAGTGACTGATTTGCCGTGTAATATACATCATTTAATACAGAGAATAGCTAGCAAGCATGGATGAACATAAATTCTGCCATCTGTATGTGTTTCGAGACATTCAGTCTGATTGGGGGAGACAAAACACAGGAACCGTAGCACCATAACTCTAAGACAGACCCTAGCACAATACCTTCACTGAATCTGGAGTGTCATGATTCTATGACAGACCCTAGCACAACGCCTCTTACCTGAATCTGGAGTGTCCTGACTCTATGACAGAGCCTAGCATAATACCTTTACCTGAATCTGGAGTGTCCTGACTCTATGACAGACGCAAGCACAATGATTATTACCTGAATCTGGAGTGTCCTGACTCTATGACAGACCTTGGCACAACGCCTCTTACCTGAATCTGGAGTGTCCTGACTCTATGACAGACCTTGGCACAACGCCTCTTACCTGAATCTGGAGTGTCCTGACTCTATGACAGACCCTAGCATAATACCTTTACCTGAATCTGGAGTGTCCTGACTCTATGACAGACCTTAGAATAATACCTTTACCTGAATCTGGAGTGTCCTGACTCTATGACAGACGCAAGCACAACGCCTCTTGCCTGAATCTGGAGTGTCCTGACTCTATGACACACCCTAGCACAATACCTTTACCTGAATCTGGAGTGTCCTGACTCTATGACACACCCTAACAAAATACCTTTACCTGAATCGGGAGTGTCCTGACTCTATGACAGACCCTAGCACAATACCTTTACCTGAATCTGGAGTGTCCTGACTCTATGACAGACGCAAGCACAACGCCTCTTGCCTGAATCTAGAGAGTCCTGACTCTATGACAGACGCAAGCATAATACCTTTACCTGAATCTACAGCGTCCCGACTCTATGACAGACGCAAGCACAATGATTATTACCTGAATCTGGAGTGTCCGGGGGGCCACTTGAACTTGTGTTGTTTCTTCAGGTGCTTGGTCAGCTGGTTGCCTCGTGTGAACCTCTTCTCACACACGTGACAGAAGTAGCGAGAAGTGTCGAGAATCTGGCAGATATACAGACCAAGTTGGAATCTTTTTGTATCAATTTTCATGTAATGTTTGTGCAACGTGGACTAACCCACAGACAACGAAGCTGACTAAAATCAACAACAACAAAAAATGTGTCATCACGGAAAACCTCCCATTACATCATCCTATTGTTTTCACTAACACACTATAATATTGAGTGAGTGAGTGAGTTGGGTCTAATGCTGTTATGAACACTATTCCAGTGACATCATGGGGTGTCAGCTTGATGTTTGATTTGGTTTGGTTTGTTTAACGCCGCACTGAGCAATATTCCAGCTATATGATGGCGATCTGTAAATAATCGAGTCTGGACCAGACAATCCAGTGCTTTACATCATGAACATCGATCCACGCAATTGGGATACAATGACATGCATCAACCAAGTCAGCGAGCCTGACCACCCGATCCCGTTAGTCGCCTTTTACAACAAGCAAAGTCAGCTTTTACGGCAAGCATGGGTTGCTGAAGACCTATTCTACCCAGGATCTTCACGGGTCGCTTGATGTTGGAAGAAAGGTGTTAGATGTTTAGATGTGGTAAAACCCACAAGCACGGGTATGGTCCTGACAAACCTAGAAACATACTCTTGGCGAAGTAGACACAACTTATGGATAACAACTGTCAAGACAACATTCCAGTATTGATCCTTATACCGTTGTCAAGCAAGACTGAATGAGGAACAAGGTACAGAATATATATAGTCTTGCTTGAAGACAGTATAAGGATCCATACCGAAACGCCGTCTTCACAATTGTTAAAGAAGTTGTTATTCATAAATTGTGTCTACTTTGTCATCCGTCAATTTCTAAGTAATGCCTATCGAAGAAATACTCTTGGAGAACCAGAATTTGAACCCACGATCATAGGTTTCTGTTGTGCCCAAGGGATGCAACTCTACACAGCGAATTGCAGCACCTCAGATGACTTGGCCATCCATGTCCCTACTATGCTACTGAGCATTAAGTACCTTCAGTACAGCCTGACCAAACTAGACATTGTCCAGTGTTCCAGAAGGTAAATAAATTGGGCCTTCCTGTCTAAGCAAGATCTTTCCTGGGCATTCTCAGCCAGAAGGAACTCATACAGGCGAGACGCTCATGTGCCGGGTGTTACATCAAACAGGTGTAAAGAACTGGGAAATGGAGACCTATCTTATCTGGGAATCCATGGGTACTTTCTACGCTCTGGCCAGAGACCCAAACAGGGAGACAAGCACGGGTACTTTCTACGCTCTGGCCAGAGACCGAAACAGGGAGACAAGCATGGGTACTTTCTACGCTCTGGCCAGAGACCCAAACAGGGAGACAAGCACGGGTACTTTCTACACCCTGGCCAGAGACCCAAACAGGGAGACAAGCATGGGTACTTTCTACGCTCTGGCCAGAGACCCAAACAGGGAGACAAGCACGGGTACTTTCTACGCTCTGGCCAGAGACCGAAACAGGGAGACAAGCATGGGTACTTTCTACGCTCTGGCCAGAGACCCAAACAGGGAGACAAGCACGGGTACTTTCTACACCCTGGCCAGAGACCCAAACAGGGAGACAAGCACGGGTACTTTCTACGCTCTGGCCAGAGACCCAAACAGGGAGACAAGCACGGGTACTTTCTACGCTCTGGCCAGAGACCGAAACAGGGAGACAAGCATGGGTACTTTCTACGCTCTGGCCAGAGACCCAAACAGGGAGACAAGCACGGGTACTTTCTACGCCCTGGCTAGAGTCCCAAACAGGGAGACAAGCATTGGTACTTTCTACGCCCTGGCCAGAGACCCAAACAGGGAGACAAGCACGGGTACTTTCTACATTCTGGCCAGAGACCCAAACAGGGAGACAAGCATGGGTACTTTCTACGCTCTGGCCAGAGACTCAAACAGGGAGACAAGCATGGGTACTTTCTACACTCTGGTCAGAGACTCAAACAGGGAGACAAGCATGGGTACTTTCTACATTCTGGCCAGAGACCCAAACAGGAAGACAAGCATGGGAGACAAGCATGGGAGACAAGCATGGGAGACAAGCATGGGTACTTTCTACATTCTGGCAAGAGACCCAAACAGGGAGACAAGCACGGGTACTTTCTACGCTCTGGCCAGAGACCCAAACAGGGAGACAAGCATGGGTACTTTCTACGCTCTGGCCAGAGACCCAAACAGGAAGACAAGCATGGGTACTTTCTACATTCTGGCCAGAGACCCAAACAGGGAGACAAGCATGGGTACTTTCTACACCCTGGCCAGAGACCCAAATAGGGAGACAAGCATGGGTACTTTCTACGCTCTGGCCAGAGACCCAAACAGGGAGACAAGCATGGGTACTTTCTACGCTCTGGCCAGAGACCCAAACAGGAAGACAAGCATGGGTACTTTCTACGCTCTGGCCAGAGACCCAAACAGGGAGACAAGCATGGGTACTTTCTACACCCTGGCCAGAGACCCAAACAGGGAGACAAGCATGGGTACTTTCTACGCCCTGGCCAGAGACCCAAACAGGGAGACAAGCATGGGAGGCAAGCATGGGTACTTTCTACACTCTGGCCAGAGACCCAAACAGGGAGACAAGCACGGGTACTTTCTACATTCTGGCCAGAGACCCAAACAGGGAGACAAGCACGGGTACTTTCTACATTCTGGCCAGAGACCCAAACAGGGAGACAAGCATGGGTACTTTCTACATTCTGGCCAGAGACCCAAACAGGGAGACAAGCACGGGTACTTTCTACATTCTGGCCAGAGACCCAAACAGGGAGACAAGCACGGGTACTTTCTACATTCTGGCCAGAGACCCAAACAGGGAGACAAGCATGGGTACTTTCTACATTCTGGCCAGAGACCCAAACAGGGAGACAAGCATGGGTACTTTCTACGCTCTGGCCAGAGACCCAAACAGGGAGACAAGCATGGGTACTTTCTACATTCTGGCCAGAGACCCAAACTGGGAGACAAGCACGGGTACTTTCTACAGTCTGGCCAGAGACCCAAACTGGGAGACCCAAACAGGGAGACCCAAACAGGGAGACAAGCATGGGTACTTTCTACACTCTGGCCAGGAACTCTCATGAGCAGGCAAGACCTTGTTTGTTGTATGAGGTGACTAACAGGATCGGGTGATTGGTTGAGTTTCTTGATGTTAATCGCTGGATTGTCTCCCCTACTACTACTCCAGTGGAGATCTACCCTGACCCCCCTACTACTCCAGTGGAGATCTACCCTGACTCCCCTACTACTCCAGTGGAGATCTACCCTGACTCCCCTACTACTCCAGTGGAGATCTACCCTGACTCCCCTACTACTACTCCAGTGGAGATCTCCCCAGACTCCCCTACTACTACTCCAGTGGAGATCTACCCTGACTCCCCTACTACTACTCCAGTGGAGATCTACCCTGACTCCCCTACTACTACCACAGTGGAGATCTACCCTGACCCCCCTACTACTACCACAGTGGAGATCTCCCCAGACTCCCCTACTACTGCTCCAGTGGTGGGGATCTACCCTGACTCCCCTACTACTCCAGTGGAGATCTACCCTGACTCCCCTACTACTACTCCAGTGGAGATCTACCCTGACTCCCCTACTACTACTCCAGTGGAGATCTCCCCAGACTCCCCTACTACTACTCCAGTGGAGATCTACCCTGACTCCCCTACTACTACCACAGTGGAGATCTACCCTGACTCCCCTACTAAAACCACAGTGGAGATCTACCCTGACTCCCCTACTACTCCAGTGGAGATCTACCCTGACTCCCCTACTACTACTCCAGTGGAGATCTCCCCAGACTCCCCTACTACTACTCCAGTGGAGATCTACCCTGACTCCCCTACTACTACCACAGTGGAGATCTACCCTGACTCCCCTACTACTACTCCAGTGGAGATCTACCCTGACTCCCCTACTACTACCACAGTGGAGATCTCCCCAGACTCCCCTACTACTGCTCCAGTGGTGGAGATCTACCCTGACTCCCCTACTACTCCAGTGGAGATCTCACCTGACTCCCCTACTACTACTCCAGTGGTGGAGATCTACCCTGACTCCCCTACTACTCCAGTGGAGATCTACCCTGACTCCCCTACTACTACTCCAGTGGTGGAGATCTCCCCTGTCTCCCCTACTACCCCAGTGGAGATCTACCCTGACTCCCCTACTACTACTCCAGTGGTGGAGATCTACCCTGACTCCCCTACTACTCCAGTGGAGATCTCCCCTGACTCCCCTACTACTACTCCAGTGGTGGAGATCTACCCTGACTCCCCTACTACCCCAGTGGAGATCTACCCTGACTCCCCTACTCCAGTGGTGGAGATCTCCCCTGACTCCCCTACTACCCCAGTGGAGATCTACCCTGACTCCCCTACTACCCCAGTGGTGGAGATCTCCCCTGACTCCCCTACTACCCCAGTGGAGATCTACCCTGACTCCCCTACTACTCCAGTGGAGATCTCCCCTGACTCCCCTACTACTACTCCAGTGGTGGAGATCTACCCTGACTCCCCTACTACCCCAGTGGAGATCTACCCTGACTCCCCTACTACTACTCCAGTGGTGGAGATCTCCCCTGACTCCCCTACTACCCCAGTGGTGGAGATCTACCCTGACTTCCCTACTACTACTCCAGTGGTGGAGATCTACCCTGACTCCCCTACTACTACTCCAGTGGTGGAGATCTCCCCTGACTCCCCTACTACCCCAGTGGAGATCTACCCTGACTCCCCTACTACTACTCCAGTGGAGATCTACCCTGACTCCCCTACTACTCCAGTGGAGATCTACCCTGACTCCCCTACTACTACTCCAGTGGAGATCTACCCTGACTCCCCTACTACTCCAGTGGAGATCTACCTTGACTCCCCTACTACTACTCCAGTGGTGGAGATCTACCCTGACTCCCCTACTACTACTCCAGTGGTGGAGATCTACCCTGACTCCCCTACTACCACAGTGGAGATCTCCCCTGACTCCCCTACTACTACCACAGTGGAGATCTACCCTGACTCCCCTACTACTCCAGTGGAGATCTACCCTGACTCCCCTACTACTAATCCAGTGGTGGAGATCTCCCCAGACTCCCCTACTACTCCAGTGGAGATCTACCCTGACTCTCCTACTACTACTACAGTGGAGATCTACCCTGACTCCCCTACTACTTCCACAGTGGAGATCTCCCCAGACTCCCCTACTACTGCTCCAGTGGTGGAGATCTACCCTGACTCCTCTACTACTCCAGTGGAGATCTACCCTGACTCCCCTACTACCCCAGTGGAGATCTACCCTGACTCCCCTACTCCAGTGGTGGAGATCTCCCCTGACTCCCCTACTACTCCAGTGGAGATCTACCCTGACTCCCCTACTACTCCAGTGGTGGAGATCTCCCCAGACTCCCCTACTACTCCAGTGGAGATCTACCCTGACTCCCCTACTCCAGTGGTGGAGATCTCCCCAGACTCCCCTACTACTCCAGTGGAGATCTACCCTGACTCCCCTACTCCAGTGGTGGAGATCTCCCCAGACTCCCCTACTACTCCAGTGGAGATCTACCCTGACTCCCCTACTACTCCAGTGGAGATCTACCCTGACTCCCCTACTACTGCTCCAGTGGTGGAGATCTCCCCAGACTCCCCTACTACTGCTCCAGTGGAGATCTACCCTGACTCCCCTACTACTCCAGTGGAGATCTCCCCAGACTCCCCTACTACTCCAGTGGAGATCTACCCTGACTCTCCCACTACTCCAGTGGAGATCTCCCCAGACTCCCCTACTACTACTCCAGTGGTGGAGATCTCCCCTGACTCCCCTACTACCCCAGTGGTGGAGATCTACCCTGACTTCCCTACTACTACTCCAGTGGTGGAGATCTACCCTGACTCCCCTACTACTACTCCAGTGGTGGAGATCTCCCCTGACTCTCCTACTACCCCAGTGGAGATCTACCCTGACTCCCCTACTACTACTCCAGTGGAGATCTACCCTGACTCCCCTACTACTCCAGTGGAGATCTACCCTGACTCCCCTACTACTGCTCCAGTGGTGGAGATCTCCCCAGACTCCCCTACTACTGCTCCAGTGGAGATCTACCCTGACTCCCCTACTACTCCAGTGGAGATCTCCCCAGACTCCCCTACTACTCCAGTGGAGATCTACCCTGACTCTCCCACTACTCCAGTGGAGATCTCCCCAGACTCCCCTACTACTACTCCAGTGGTGGAGATCTCCCCTGACTCCCCTACTACCCCAGTGGTGGAGATCTACCCTGACTTCCCTACTACTACTCCAGTGGTGGAGATCTACCCTGACTCCCCTACTACTACTCCAGTGGTGGAGATCTCCCCTGACTCCCCTACTACCCCAGTGGAGATCTACCCTGACTCCCCTACTACTACTCCAGTGGAGATCTACCCTGACTCCCCTACTACTACTCCAGTGGTGGAGATCTACCCTGACTCCCCTACTACTACTCCAGTGGTGGAGATCTACCCTGACTCCCCTACTACTACTCCAGTGGTGGAGATCTACCCTGACTCCCCTACTACTCCAGTGGAGATCTACCCTGACTCCCCTACTACTAATCCAGTGGTGGAGATCTCCCCAGACTCCCCTACTACTCCAGTGGAGATCTACCCTGACTCCCCTACTACTACTACAGTGGAGATCTACCCTGACTCCCCTACTACTACCCCAGTGGAGATCTACCCTGACTCCCCTACTACTACCCCAGTGGAGATCTCCCCTGACTCCCCTACTACTACTCCAGTGGAGATCTACCCTGACTCTCCCACTACCCCAGTGGAGATCTACCCTGACTCCCCTACTACTCCAGTGGAGATCTACCCTGACTCCCTACTACTCCCGTGGAGATCTACCCTGACTCCCCTACTACTGCTTCAGTGGTGGAGATCTCCCCAGACTCCCCTACTACCCCAGTGGAGATCTACCCTGACTCCCCTACTACTACTCCAGTGGTGGAGATCTCCCCAGACTCCCCTACTACTCCAGTGGAGATCTACCCTGACTCCCCTACTACTCCAGTGGAGATCTACCCTGACTCCCCTACTACTGCTCCAGTGGTGGAGATCTCCCCAGACTCCCCTACTACTGCTCCAGTGGAGATCTACCCTGACTCCCCTACTACTCCAGTGGAGATCTCCCCAGACTCCCCTACTCCAGTGGAGATCTACCCTGACTCTCCCACTACTCCAGTGGAGATCTCCCCAGACTCCCCTACTACTCCAGTGGAGATCTACCCTGACTCTCCTACTACTCCAGTGGTTGAGATCTCCCCTACTACTGCTCCAGTGGTGGAGATCTCCCCAGACTCCCCTACTTCTACAGTGGAGATCTACCCTGACTCCCCTACTACTCCAGTGGAGATCTACCCTGACTCCCCTACTACCCCAGTGGAGATCTACCCTGACTCCCCTACTCCAGTGGTGGAGATCTCCCCTGACTCCCCTACTACTCCAGTGGAGATCTACCCTGACTCCCCTACTACTCCAGTGGTGGAGATCTCCCCAGACTCCCCTACTACTCCAGTGGAGATCTACCCTGACTCCCCTACTCCAGTGGTGGAGATCTCCCCAGACTCCCCTACTACTCCAGTGGTGGAGATCTACCCTGACTCCCCTACTACTCCAGTGGAGATCTACCCTGACTCCCTACTACTACTCCAGTGGAGATCTCCCCTGACTCCCTACTACAGTTCTGTACCTGGTGCTCCTTCCTGTAGTGGTTGGTGAGGCTGGTGTAGGACCGCGCCTTGTATCGGCACTTGTCAATGTGGCACTGGAAGAGGCTGTCCTTGCTGTGACTCTCCAGGTGGCGCCGCAAGTCAGCGCCACTCTTGGCACTGAAACAATGTCAGTCAGTACACGCTGAAAACGTCAACGCCAGAGACTATTCAGTCTTCATATCTCACAACACAAATTCCACTGGGCGACCATGGAAAATATTAGATGAATGGATCACTAAAAATCAGTGATGTCACCAGGTGTTCGCGAAGAGGGTAAGCATGTTCTGCCTTTTACAAACAGCCTCAGTGCTGGAGTGAGTGAGTGAGTATGGTTTTACGCCCCTTTTAGCAATATTCCAGCAATATCACGGCGGGGGACACCAGAAATGGGCTTCACACATTGTACCCATGTTGGGAATCGAACCCGGGTCTTCGGCGTGACGAGCGAACGCTTTAACCACTAGGCTACCCGACCGCCCCCTCAGTGCTGGAGATCCAGCTAGTCACTCACAATCTTTTTAAAGCAAGTGCTTGTTTATTTCCTAAAGCAAGTGCTTGTTTATTTCCTAAAGCCGTGCCCAGCAGCGTCCTGAACAGCGTTTCAGCTGCATCGCCAGCGTCAACAATAAGCACTCAAGAACTTCCAGTGTGCAATGGCCTATCCTGCCACACCAGGCTCTAAGACATATATTTACCTAACGCCTGCTACCAGATCCTTGTCTTAGACCTAATGTTGAAAATTTAAGTGTGTGTGTGTGTGTGTGTGTGTGTGTGTGTGCGTGTGCGTGTGCGTGTGCGTGTGCGCATGCGTGTGTCCTTGGAGGTCTTGTAACTTTTAACAGGACGCCTGTCCCGAGGACCCCTTGACTTTCAGGATTAATTTCAAACAAACAATTGTGTTTCAACCAAATCACTGGGAGTTTCTGAGAAAACGAGTGTACAGCTAATGGCTGCTTCGGCTTAGTTTACAGGACAATACACATAGTAATCTTAATCTCGTGCATACAAAACAATGCCTAGAAGAACAGGAAATACAATTTAATCGGTAAATCATCATGTCTAGTGATGTTTTACCTCAAATTTCAAATTTGTAATGACCAAGTTGAATTGTTATGATCTGTTCGTTTCCCTGAATTCGATGAAGGCATACGATGTAATTTTGTTCTGTGGAAGACAAACACGTTATAACTGCAAATGTAGGGAATGTGTTTGTGCTTCATTCAGATTCCCTTTATAGACGGGGGGGTCACTGAAAAGACGAGGTATAAAAATTAGCATTGATTTTGAAGGGTTGTACAGGGGGGTTGCTTATAGGTGATGTCACTTCTTAGACGGGGATATACGGTGATGCCACTACATAGACGGGGATATACGGTGATGTCACTTCATAGACGGGGATATACGGTGATGTCACTTCATAGACGGGGATATACGGTGATGTCACTTCATAGACGGGGATATACGGTGATGTCCCTTTATAGACGGGGATATACGGTGATGTCTCTTCATAGACGGGGATATACGGTGATGTCCCTTTATAGACGGGGATATGCGGTGATGTCACTTCATAGACGGGATATACGGTGATGTCACTACATAAACGGGGATATACGGTGATGTCACTTCATAGACGGGGATATACGGTGATGTCACTTCATAAACGGGGATATACGGTGATGTCTCTTCATAGACGGGGATATACGGTGATGTCACTTCATAGACGGGGATATACGGTGATGTCACTTCATAGACGGGATATACGGTGATGTCACTACATAAACGGGGATATACGGTGATGTCACTTTATAGACGAGGATATACGGTGATGTCACTTCATAGACGGGGATATACGGTGATGTCTCTTCATAGACGGGGATATACGGTGATGTCACTTCATAGACGGGGATATACGGTGATGTCACTTCATAGACGGGGATATACGGTGATGTCACTTCATAGACGGGGATATACGGTGATGTCACTTCATAGACGGGGATATACGGTGATGTCACTTCATAGACGGGGATATGCGGTGAGGAAGGAGGAGGAGGCCCTGGGCCCCCTATTTCAATACCAGGGACCCACAAATATATTACTGAAGGTCCTGAAGATTTGAAAATGTACAGACCAAGGTAAATCATTGATGGTATCTATTAGCAGACACACCTGTGAAACGGTATTAAAAGAGTTGTCTCCCTTACTCTTCGCTATTAGATGGTTGGGGGATCAAGTATGAATCCAGTTGTATATTTAGTGATAATCATTTTTTATATTGATTTTTAAATAGTGAGCAGTAAGCCGAAAACAAGTCAATGTGGTCCTAATATAGCAATATGTTCCAAGCCTCAAACTAACAATATGTTCTGAGGGTCCCATGAACAAAATTTTCCGAGGCTCCTGAAATGCTGTCCTTACCAAGCAGCGTCACCATGACAACTCACCAGTGTTCACAGTGGGCACACTTGAATGGCTTCTCCATGGTGTGTCGGTACCGGATGTGGGCGCGGAGTCCGGACGGGGCCGGGCACGTCATGTCACAGAAGGGGCACTTGTAGTGGTTCACTGTGGGCACATACAACAGGTGTGAGTGGCAGGGAGTGGGTGATACAAGTCATAGAAGGGGCACATACAACAGGTGTGAGTGACAGGGAGTGGGTGGTACAAGTCACAGAAGGGGCACATACAACAGGAGTGAGTGACAGGGAGTGGGTGGTACAAGTCACAGAAGGGGCACTTGTAGTGGTTCACTGTGGGCACAATCAACAGGTGTGACAGACAGGGAGTGGGTGATACAAGTCACAGAAGGGACACTTGTAGTGGTTCACTGTGGGCACAATCAACAGGAGTGACAACAGGGAGTGGGTGATACAAGTCACAGAAGGGGCACTTGTAGTGGTTCACTGTGGGCACAATCAACATGAGTGAGTGGCAGGGAGTGGGTGGTACAAGTCACAGAAGGGGCACTTGTAGTGGTTCACTGTTGGCACAATCAACAGGAGTGACAACAGGGAGTGGGTGGTACAAGTCACAGAAGGGACACTTGTAGTGGTTCACTGTGGGCACATACAACCGGAGTGACAACAGGGAGTGGGTGATACAAGTCACAGAAGGGGCACTTGTAGTGGTTCACTGTGAGCACAATCAACATGAGTGAGTGGCAGGGAGTGGGTGGTACAAGTCACAGAAGGGGCACTTGTAGTGGTTCACTGTTGGCACAATCAACAGGAGTGACAACAGGGAGTGGGTGGTACAAGTCACAGAAGGGGCACTTGTAGTGGTTCACTGTTGGCACAATCAACAGGAGTGACAACAGGGAGTGGGTGGTACAAGTCACAGAAGGGACACTTGTAGTGGTTCACTGTGGGCACAATCAACCGGAGTGACAACAGGGAGTGGGTGGTACAAGTCACAGAAGGGGCACTTGTAGTGGTTCACTGTGGGCACATACAACAAGGGTGAGTGGCAGGGAGTGGGTGGTACAAGTCACAGAAGGAGCACTTGTAGTGGTTCACTGTGGGCACATACAACAGGAGTGAGTGACAGGGAGTGGGTGGTACAAGTCACAGAAGGGACACTTGTAGTGGTTCACTGTGGGCACATACAACAGGAGTGAGTGACAGGGAGTGGGTGGTACAAGTCACAGAAGGGACACTTGTAGTGGTTCACTGTGGGCACATACAACAGGTGTGAGTGACAGGGAGTGGGTGGTACAAGTCACAGAAGGGGCACTTGTAGTGGTTCACTGTGGGCACAATCAACAGGAGTGACAACAGGGAGTGGGTGGTACAAGTCACAGAAGGGACACTTGTAGTGGTTCACTGTGGGCACAATCAACAGGAGTGACAACAGGGAATGGGTGGTACAAGTCACAGAAGGGACACTTGTAGTGGTTCACTGTGGGCACATACAACAGGTGTGAGTGACAGGGAGTGGGTGGTACAAGTCACAGAAGGGGCACTTGTAGTGGTTCACTGTGGGCACATACAACAGGTGTGAGTGACAGGGAGTGGGTGGTACAAGTCACAGAAGGGGCACTTGTAGTGGTTCACTGTGGGCACATACAACAGGTGTGAGTGACAGGGAGTGGGTGGTACAAGTCACAGAAGGGACACTTGTAGTGGTTCACTGTGGGCACAATCAACAGGAGTGAGTGACAGGGAGTGGGTGATACAAGTCACAGAAGGGACACTTGTAGTGGTTCACTGTGGGCACAATCAACAAGGGTGAGTGACGGAGTGGGTGATACAAGTCACAGATGTTACCACTCTTGTATCGTGCTGACAGAGGAAGAATCATAATCGGGGCACATCTGCAGCTGGAGGAGGACCAGGGATTCTATGCTGGTTCTGCCTGTGCTCTGATTCCTTGTTATGCATAAAGCTAGGATACAAAGAGTGGGGTTGAACCCTAGGAGTTACCATTAACTGTTAAAAGGCAGATAGTTAGCCCAAATCAGCAGCAAATATCATAAACAATTCCCAAATCAGAATACAATATTTGGCAATTCATGTTAGTGTAGATATAACTCATAGTTTGGTGTTGTGTATGTCACATGAATTCATGGATAACTTGTGTTTGTAAAATCATGATTGATGATTGGCTGGTGTCATTTTGAGAGAGTGAGTGAGTGAGTACGGTTTAATGCCGCTTTTAGCAATATCCCAGCAATATCACGGCGGGGGACACAAGAAATGGGCTTCACACATTGTACCCATGTCCAGTATGGAACCCGGGTCTTCGGCGTGACGAGCGGACAGTGTCATTTTGAAGTTTTCAATCTTCAGTTCATCCTTCCAGTTTTACAAAAAGTCATGTCCAGAACATCCAACAATCACCTTCATAATGTTTTGAAAAAAAAGACAATGGCTTCACTATGTCTAACATTTTTTTTCAGTTACTGAGTAGAGAATAAATTTTCCCAGGAAACAAAACTATAGCTGTGTTGAGAGAGGTGCTGAATAATTTGTGTTCAAAAATGAAAAATTGTGTTTGATTGTTTGGTCAGTTAGACTTTCTGATCAGTCTTTGATTATTTAAATCAATCAGAACACAGGACAATAACAATAATAATCTTACATCATTAAAATACCTCTAAATTGTATGAAATTGTTTATTTAAATAAAATATCAAAAGTTGAACAAAATACATTTTTTCCCCATTTTGCCTGACAAGGCACCAATTAGTTTGGAATCCCAGATGCATTTGTGAATCCTCCGTTACTCACCATGGTGACGCATGTGGTCCCTCAGGATTCGCTCTGTGGCAAACCTCTTGTTGCAGTGGGAACACTGGTAGCACCGCACTGGAAACAGACAGAACATTCTCAGAACTATTGTCAGTCAATCAATCAGCTCAGCAGGGACCAGGACAAAACATCACCAGTTCTACAGAGTGTTGTAATGACGATGCACAATGTTCACTGCGAGATAACAAATGAAATGACACTGTTTGGTATAATCATTAGCCAAATTTCAACCTATGTCCCATAAATTTTTCACACATTCCCTTCGACAATTTCTCCCATGATTCCTGTAGATGTTCTTCCTACACTGGATGTGGCAAGAGAACTTGTCATTGTGTTCTCTACATATGTATAATCATTATGCCTTTAGACACCCTTTTAGAAGTATTTTCATAACAATATGCATATAACACATCAGCTGCTAATAAGAGGTTCTTATTGCGATTTGAAACCTCTAATTGACCAAACAGAATTATGTATAGTCCACAAGCAAGTGTGTCTGTCCAGTCCTCATAATTTAGACACAACACATTCATTCCTGGAGATTGGAACATGTGCTCGCAACTTGATGATGTTGTATAATGGACAATGTTATTTTTGAGAGGAGAGTATCGGAGTTATCATTCTTTAAATACATGTATAGGTAGAATATTTTTAAAGCTTGTACATTTCACCATCACCCTTTAAAAGGTGGAACATAACGTTGATATCAACATGGTTTGTCCTCCCTACAGTGCTATATGGTGAGATAAACAACTCCCACTCGTCCTTTATTTTCCAAGTACATGAACTCTGTTTTCGAAACCAAACTCTCCTGACAGTCCCTCGCTATATGGTCCTGTCTGATGGTAACAGATCTGTCAGACTTCTACAAGTCCTTATGATACCTTAGCTATTGGGCTATTTGGCAAGGACTGTAAGACTAGTGCCAATTTCTACCGTTGTATTCTTTAATAAATGTTACACCAAACACTAATTACTACTGAAAATGACCAGTGAAAACATCATATTTTCATCCATTGCGCCATTCTTGACAATGACAATCGTAAATTGTCAGTGTGCCAGGAATTTGGTTATCCTGTGTATGAAAAAGATGGCTCATGCATCACCGATTAGAGCATGTGCAAGTATCATGATACCTATGGGATCGTGAGCAAGGTATCGTGGTACGTATCGGATCGTGAGCAAGGTATAGTGATACATATCTGATCGTGAGCAAGGTATCGTGATACATATCGGATTGTGAGCAAGGTATCATGATACGTATCGGATCGTGAGCAAGGTATCATGATACGTATCGGATCGTGAGCAAGGTATCATGATACGTATCGGATCGTGAGCAAGGTATAGTGATACATATCTGATCGTGAGCAAGGTATAGTGATACGTATCGGATTGTGAGCAAGGTATCGTGATACATATCTGATCGTGAGCAAGGTATCATGATACGTATCGGATCGTGAGCAAGGTATAGTGATACATATCTGATCGTGAGCAAGGTATAGTGATACATATCGGATTGTGAGCAAGGTATCATGATACGTATCAGATCGTGAGCAAGGTATCGTGATACGTATCGGATCGTGAGCAACGTATCGTGGTACGTATCGGATCGTGAGCAAGGTATAGTGATACATATCGGATTGTGAGCAAGGTATCATGATACGTATCAGATCGTGAGCAAGGTATCGTGATACGTTTCGGATCGTGAGCAACGTATCGTGGTACGTATCGGATCGTGAGCAAGGTATCGTGATACATATCGGATTGTGAGCAAGGTATCATGATACGTATCAGATCGTGAGCAAGGTATCGTGATACGTATCGGATCGTGAGCAAGGTATAGTGATACATATCTGATCGTGAGCAAGGTATCGTGATACATATCGGATTGTGAGCAAGGTATCATGATACGTATCAGATCGTGAGCAAGGTATCGTGATACGTATCGGATCGTGAGCAACGTATCGTGGTACGTATCGGATCGTGAGCAAGGTATAGTGATACATATCGGATTGTGAGCAAGGTATCATGATACGTATCAGATCGTGAGCAAGGTATCGTGATACGTTTCGGATCGTGAGCAACGTATCGTGGTACGTATCGGATCGTGAGCAAGGTATCGTGATACATATCGGATTGTGAGCAAGGTATCATGATACGTATCAGATCGTGAGCAAGGTATCGTGGTACGTATCGGATCGTGAGCAAGGTATAGTGATACATATCTGATCGTGAGCAAGGTATCGTGATACATATCGGATTGTGAGCAAGGTATCATGATACGTATCGGATCGTGAGCAAGGTATCGTGATACGTATCGGATCGTGAGCAACGTATCGGATCGTGAGCAAGGTATTGTGATACATATCGGATTGTGAGCAAGGTATCGTGATACATATCGGATCGTGAGCAAGGTATCGTGATACATATCGGATTGTGAGCAAGGTATAGTGATACGTATCGGATTGTGAGCAAGGTATCGTGATATGTATCGGATTGTGAGCAAGGTATCATGATACGTATCGGATCGTGAGTAAGGTATCGTGATACGTATCGGATCGTGAGCAAGGTATCGTGATACATACTAGATCGTGAGCAAGGTATCGTGATACATATCGGATCGTGAGCAAGGTATAGTGATGCGTATCGGATCGTGAGCAAGGTATCGTGATACGTATCGGATCGTGAGCAAGGTATCGTGATACATACTAGATCGTGAGCAAGGTATCGTGAGTAAGGTATCGTGATACGTATCGGATCACACAGTTGTTGTATCGTCCCACCCCTCAACAGTATGGAGTCTGCAGAAAGAGCAGACCTTACCTGGGCTGTAATCTCAATACCGACACAGAGAGGCCAGGGGTAAACAATGGGACAAAGAGTCAAACACAGAGAGACAAACAAAGAGTCAAACACAGAGAGACAAACAAAGAGTCAAACACAGAGAGACAAACAAAGAGTCAAACACAGAGAGACAAACAAAGAGTCAAACACAGAGAGACAAACAAAGAATCAAACACAGAGAGACAAACACAGAGAGACAAACAAAGAGTCAAACACAGAGAGACAAACACAGAGAGACAAACAAAGAGACAAACACAGAGAGACAAACACAGAGAGACAAACAAAGAGTCAAACACAGAGAGACAAACACAGAGTCAAACACAGAGAGACAAACAAAGAGTTAAACACAGAGAGACAAACACAGAGAGACAAACACAGAGAGACAAACAAAGAGTCAAACACAGAGAGACAAACAAAGAGTCAAACACAGAGAGACAAACAAAGAGTCAAACACAGAGAGACAAACAAAGAGTCAAACACAGAGAGACAAACTCAGAGAGACAAACAAAGGGTCAAACACAGAGAGACAAACACAGAGTCAAACACAGAGAGACAAACAAAGAGTCAAACACAGAGAGACAAACACAGAGAGACAAACAAAGAGTCAAACAGAGAGACAAACACAGAGTCAAACACAGAGAGACAAACAAAGAGTCAAACACAGAGAGACAAACACAGAGAGACAAACACAGAGAGACAAACAAAGAGTCAAACACAGAGAGACAAACAAAGAGTCAAACACAGAGAGACAAACACAGAGAGACAAACAAAGAGTCAAACACAGAGAGACAAACAAAGAGTCAAACACAGAGAGACAAACACAGAGAGACAAACAAAGTGTGTTCAGACTGTTTCCCCCGTCCCGTTGTCAGATCCTAGGGTATTACATCAATGAGTGCACACCAGAAACTAGCAATTTGACCCAACCTAGAGATTCATTTGAATACTTCCAATACAACCCTAATTCCAAAAGAACTTGCTGGAAGCCCAGTCAGTATTGGCATAGTGATAGCACTGTGACATGCCATAGTGGATAGAAATTACTGAAGGAAGCTCCATAAAATCCCCGTGACTGACTATCATGGCTTTGGTTTGTTTGTTGTTTATAATAACCATTCTGGGAAGCTATGGGTAAACATTCAGACATTGTTGGTTGGTGGGTTTGTTGTTTAATGCCGCACTCAGCAATATCCCAGCTATATGACGGCAGTCTGTAAATAATCGAATCTGGACCAGACAATTCAGTGATTTACATCATGTACATCAATCCACGCAATTTGGATACGATGACATGCATCAACCAAGTCAGCGAGCCTGACTACCCGATCCCGTTAGTCGCCTTTTACGACAAGCATGGTCGCCTTTTACGGCAAGCAGGGGTTGCTGAAGACCCATTCTACCCCGGATCTTCACGGGTCAGCGTGGGTTGCTAAAGACCCATTCTACCCCGGATCTTCACGGGTCAATGTGTGTGCTGAAGGCTACATGCTATGAAGTCTTCAGTCTACAGTAAGGAAAGTTTGATATCACGATTATATCCGAATGTTGTTGTAAATAGATGATGATGATGATGATGATGATGATGATGATGATGATGATGATGCCATCCATTGTTCATGAAGCCTTTTACTGTTCATGCAATCCATTGTTCATGATGCCATCCATTGTTCATGCCATCCATTGTTCATGCCGCCATCAATCCATTCTTGTTCAAGACAGAATATATTTTCTCTCGATGCTTCAAGAAAGGCAATGTTTAGGGCAACAGTGAACAATGTACATATTTTAGGACCTGTGAAGATCCGGGTTAGAAGAGGTCTTCAGCAACCCATGCTTGCTGTAGAAGGCAACTATGCTTGTCGTAAGAAGGACTATGCTTGCCGTAACGGTATCGGGCGGTGAGGCTCGCTGACATGGTTGAGCATGTCATCGTATTCCAATGGTGTGGATCGATGCCGATGATGTCAGTCACTAGATTGTCTGGTCCAGACTGGATTATTTACAGACCGCCGTCATATAGCTGGAATACTGCTGAGTGCCTCGTTAATCAACAAGCAACAAGAGTCATCAGAAAGATGACATATCCCCCCGGCAGCTGTCTGTAAAGTAACCACTAGTAAATGTGCAATTCTGTATGTAATGAGTCAAGAGTTGAATGTTCTTGAAGAAGCATACATTGTTTACCCACAAAAGATCCACCATGGTCACATCCA